GAGGCTGCCGACAATAGTCACACTCACCTGAGAAGTTTGGAGCGTTGTAAAAACGCTTTCAAAACGTTTTGAAAAATTCTGTCGATTGGAATGGATAGAGAAGCAAGCAGCAGATGAATGTAAACAAACAGACACATCATATATGTGCGTGACGCTGAGAAAATGCTAGTAGAAGTGCAGACGCTGTTAGATTGACGAGAATACGTAAATTCCCCTATGTATCGAATTTTCAATTATTCGCGCACGTAACCGACATCCCATAATTTCTACTCGTTTGATTTAGCGCAGTAGCGAAAATAAATAATAGTTATAATTTATCTGAACAGGCATAGAGATACAGGATCATAAATTCGCCGAAAAAAAGTGTTAGGCGTCTTTCTGCTACACAGCAAAAAAATAATTTTGATATCACATCAAAGTGGATGCACTACAATCATGTCGAAAATTTCATGTAATTTTTATGACCACATAAATAAACAAATGCAGTAAAAGCAGCGTAATGTCAGTTCATGCATTGTATTAATGATAATTTTGTCCTTTTTAGCAAGTAATATTACACCATATTTTCGACATGATTGTAGTGTATCCACTTTGACGTGATATCAAAATTATTTTTTTGCTGTGTAAAGGCTCAGATTTACCAACTTGTTAAGAGAAGTAGGAGCTTTCACTGGGTGGACACTGATATTCTGTAACCTTCCAACCTGTCGCAGACACCAGTTCAACTCCTGTACAGCAGCAGAAGGGCCGAGACTCTGGCGAGTGCCTAATCATTGAACCATATGGGATTGTCCAGTCCGATTTGCTGATCCAGCTGACTACACGTCATCATCACCTTCCAAAGGCTTTAACCCGTAAAAGCCCGGAACAAACTTATTATTTTCAAAAATTTGCATCTCAGAGATGCCATTGCCGATTAAAATGACTGTTTTTTAACACCATTCCGGTGAGTTGTTCTTACATTTGTTGGGTGGTACTCCCCCCCAGGACCCTCCCTCTTTTCTATATATTCAAGAATGTGTTGGCACGGGTGTGTTTTTTTTTCAATCTTTATCATATATCTTACATATCATCCCGACAACATATTGATTTTTTTCGTGGAACTCCCGAAAATGATAGAGAACATTCATAAGATCACATGCCTACCATGGAATCGGTTCCGGATGTTCCGGATTATGATTCCATATGGTCAAATTTATTTTCTGTCATAACAATATCAAGCAACATATAAAATCACATCTACTCGACGAAATATGACAAATGGCACTCAAAACGACGTCAACAGAGCCATATGGCCACCGTAAAACCGGTTCCGGATGTTCCGAATTAGGGTTCTGTATGGTCAAATTTGATATCGCTCATAACCATACCAAGCGACATATCAAATCACATCTACTCGACGAAATATGACCAATGGCACTCAAAACAACAACAACAGAGCCATAGGGCCATCGTGCAACCGGTTACAGATATTCCGAATTATGGTTCCGTATGATCGAATTTTGTATCGTTTGAAATCATATCACGTAACATTTCAAATCACATCTACTTGACGAAATATGACCAACGGCACTATTGTTGTTGTTTTGAGTGCCATTGGTGATATTTCGTCGAGTAGATGTGATTTTATGTGTCGCTTGGTATGGCTATGAGCGATATCAAATTTGACCCTACAGAACCATAGTCCGGAATATCCGGAACCGGTTTTACGGTAGCCATATGGCTCTATAGTTGTTGTTTTGAGTGCCATTGGTCATATTTCGTCGAGTAGATGTGATTTGATATGTCGCTTGGTATGGTTATGAGCGATATCAAATTTGACCGTACAGAACCATAATCCGGAATATCTGGAACCGGTTCTACGGTAGCTATATGGCTCTGTTGACGTCGTTTTGAGTGCCATTTGTCATATTTCATCGAGTAGATGTGATTTGATATGATGGCGCTTGAAATAATTAAGTGAGATTTAAAATTTGACCATGTTGAACCATAATCCGGAAGATCTGGACCGGTTTTACGTTGGCCATATGTCTCTGTGGACGTCGTTCTGAGTGCCATTGGTCATATTTCGTCAAGTAGATGTGATTTTATATGTTGCTTGATATTGTTATGACAGACAATAAATTTGACCATATGGAACCATAATCAGGAACATCCGGAACCGATTCCATGGTACGCATGTGATCTTATGAATGTTCTCTATCATTTCCGGGAGTTCCACGAAAAAAATCAATATGTTGTCGTCAGTGTTGGAAAAATCAGAAATCAATTGATATTTTTCCGCTATCATACGCTCTCAATATCAGGCGTGTTATTGGAACAAAATATCATGCTTGATATTGATTTTACAAGCTCCTTTGATACTGCGAGACTATTCATAACGTGCAGACATCAAGCTGAGAGTTGACTCGTCACAAAAATGATTCCATTGCACATCGTTTTCTTAGAAAGAGAAAGCATAGTTTGCTATCTCTTTTTAATCTTCACAGATGGCAGACGCGAAGGGACTGCTGCAAGCCGTTATGGAAGTTTCGGTTGCATTCGGGTGTAAAGCAAAAATCATTAAACTCAATCTCACCACAGTTTGGTGAGATTTGCAGTTGGTGAGTTTTGTTAGCTTGATATTCCGAGCTGCGATATCACAGCTTGCAAAATCAACCGCAGTTGTTTGCTTGTTGATTTTTGTCTACGAAAATCAAGCGTGATCTTGGGCGTTGGTGAGATTTGATTTTTTGATAGTTTCCCAACACTGATCCATATTATTCAGTAGTATCTTAAGTAGATAATTGTATACTAAAACATCATGGCTAGTTGTTTTAAAATTGTCTGATTGATTTTTTTTTCAGTCAGGAGTCTGTGAGTTGACCTCGTACTTTACTTCAACTGGGGATACATTCTTATCATTGTTTTGTTATTAGTGCTGGTAGTTCATTGGCAAATTATCATTATTTAACCGCAGTTGATCATTACTTAACCACAGTTGTTTTGAAAATCTTCGCTGTCACGTATGAGCGAAATGAACAAATGAGTTCATTATAGATCAACGAATACGCGTTTGTTGATATTCACCACTCCTTGATTATGCTTGGCATCGCATTTGCTAATAACTTTGCACACCGCTGACGAAACATAGTTCTTTTTGAAGCAGTAGATAGAATAGAGTTTAAGCTTGTTATAGATATGTAAAAAAAGTAGATTTTCATTCTAGTAATAAACTGTATTTGTTTTTGCATTGTAACAATGAAGTGAGAAATGCTCGCTGCACATCTCGGGCTCTAAGTGTAAAAATTCATTGGTGTTGATTCAAATGTTAAGATTTACCTACTCTTTGCATGCCTATAGTAAACTATGATCCTAATCTATCAATTACTTTAAAGAAAAATAAATGTCAACGACTGAGTGAAAAGCTATTAACAAATGAGCAGTTGGTGTGTACAACTGTGCATGCCAAGCATGTCCTTGATTATCCCACCCAAAAGTGTCACCATCAGAAGCGATCCTCAAAAGCAAAATAATCAAATTGATTGTTAACGCCAGCGTCTTAAACCTCGATATTATCTTCAATTCAGCACGACACTTTATTCAGCGCTATATTTTCATTTGATCCTCAAAATCATCCTCATCTAAATGAAGACGAATATTGATATTGACAACAACACAGACGATAATGAACATCCAGCCACGAATGAAAAAAGACGATTCTCAGAGGTTGCCTTGATCAAGAGATTGCAGTTGGTCTATCTGTTAAGGTTGTCTTCATTTTCAGCTAAGTTGAGTGTAGAAGAAAAGATTTTTATCAGCATTGATCGGTATTGCTACACAGACAGAAGTCAATGAGCGAAGCACAATTTTCAACATGGCTGTTCGGCATCAATTGCCAAAATAATTATCATGTTAGTTAGCTCAAACTGTTGAATGTAAAATGGATTTTCGAATCCAAGATGCTGAAATTTAGTTCAAACTGGTGAATGTCAATCAAAACAGACTTGTCATACTGTGTGTCATTCACGCATTTAACGACTGATTAGTTGATCATCAGACCAAACGTCCTTAGACCGAATGTGGAAAAGTCAAAAGAAAAAACTTGTAATCGTTGTAGAAATTGGGGACTTGGGAGAAGTAGAGATCCAGAGCTCGCGAAATTTTTCAAGATTCTGAGACTGTCAAAGTCGTGGAATCCCAAATCATGTTTTCCGCGTTCAAGTGCCTTACAAAAATTCACTCTCATAATGAGGACATCACACACTGCATACACTGAGCACTGAGCCAACTGGACCTACTTTCCCTTCAGTCAAGCAGAAATCTAGGGAAAAAAAATAATCAAACTTCTGTGTGTATAAATACATGCGAGCGAGAGAGAGCGCGCGCGAGTTCTATTTCATCGTCACAGTCCGTAAGGCAAAATCAATAAAGTTAAGGGAGATAATTTACTGCTTTGTCCTCCTCTGCCTGCCATTCCCGAACAACTCTCGGGACATCTCAACCGCGCGCACACACATCCTCATCATCATCATCATCATCATCGTGATCATCATCTAGTAGCAGCGCCTACAGCTGAGACTGCTACCACTTTCCACCGAGAATAGTGGACCGAAAAAAAAAATATATAATGGGAAAATCATATTGCCGACGACGACAGGATGGGACCACCGCTGTTGAAGGACGTCCTCTCCATCGTCACGGCAGCCAGCCCATTTGCCTACGCTCGGACCTGAGCTGGAGGAAAATTTCCACCATAAATCCATTCGGTTCAAAAACCATTCCCCGAAAAGCAAGAAAAAGGATCTCCTTTTTCCGTTTTTGACACATCTCCTAACCATCATCATCGCGGAATATCGCACTCATTCTCTCACTCACACCCGTCCGTCCGACCGTCCGTCTGTCCGTCCGTGACAATTTCGCCCCTAAAACTAGACTACTCGCAAAAACTCATGCGTTCCCTTGTGTTTTCTTTTTTTTTCTTCTCTTCTCTTCTTTCCACCTGCTGCTCCGTCGAGTAGCTCGCAGCATCTCAGAAGAAATGTACTCAGATCCCTCACGCTGCGACGACCAACCGAAGGCAGAGAGCAGTTCTGGCACTCACTCGAAACCCGATTCTGCGCACAAGAGTGACAAAGATAAAGATAAGAAAGATAAGGAAAAGGAGGAACGTGATGAAGGTAAGTGTCGTTCAGTTTTCCGATCCCTCGCAATCGCTCCAATCACAACCACTACCCTCCCATCCCGCAAAGTTCTTCTCTGCACTCACTCGGCACTCAGCTCAGCATCCTCTCCCATCCAGCTACCCCTCCCCCCCCCCCTCCATTGAAAACATTTATTTTTCTCACTTTCTGGTGGTGATTTTTTTGTATGTTGAGTTCGCATTTCATTGGTACCTACTGGAAAACTTTTACCTCCCCGTCACACACATTCCATCAACACACTCACACACAGGTTTCCCCTTTTTAAACCATCCACCTCTCTTCTTCCAACCATTAAATTCGCAGAAACAATCAAAGTATTTGACGGCAACTGTTCATATCGAAGAAAAATATTTAGAGCCATCACCGTACCTAGAACATGCTCGTTAGAACAATTACTGACCACCGCCTTGAGGGCCTTTCATATAGCCAGGGATTCAACTGTAAGTGATTTCTGCATGGTTTGTGGCAAGCGCTTCGAACCGTTTTCTAACTAACTATTTCTTTTCCTCCATTCAACAGCTATTTTTTCTTACTGACGTTTACGGTGATGAAGTAAGATTACAGGATCCGACGCCGGTTCTGAACCTGCACCGAGTCGAGGGCAAACGACCGGCAATCTATTTGCGATTTCGGTGAGTACTCTCTCAAGTTGTTTCTGTGAAGTCAAGTCAAATAGGCCACACAAATTGTCACGCAAAAGATGCCTAGAGGTAGCGATTTTCGGCCTTAAGCCGGGCTTAGACTAGGCCAGTCCATTGAGCAACTCAATTGAATTCAATTGGTTTGAAAAGTTGAGTCTAGTACAATTCAACTGAGTTGATCAATTGACTTGCCTAGTCTAAACCCGGCTTGGGTGAAACATTCTGAAGTTAAGCTGGTTTTAGACAAGGTAAGTCAGTTGCATTCAATTGGCTTGAAAAGTTGAGCCTGTTTTAACTTTTTTCAACTCAAGTTATAGTTAATAGCGTTCAATTCACTTTCAAGTCTGTTGAATTTAGCTGAGTTGATTTGCCTTTTCTAAACTCGGCTGTATATGCACTCTGATTTAGGTGAAACTAACTGGAGTTCAGCAGGTTTTAGGTAAGGTTAAGCTGGGTTTATATTAGGCAAGTCAAATGATCAACTAAGTTGAATTCAATTTGCTTGAAAAGTTGAGCCTATTTCAACTTTTTTCAATTTAAGTGAGTTGATCAAATCAGTTTAATGGCGTTCAATTCGCGTTCAAGTCTGCTGAATCCAACTGAGCTGATCAATTGATTTGCACTGTCTAAACACAGCTTAAGCCATGCTATTCAAGTGAGTTGATCAACTAACTTGAATTTAAAAAAATTCGAAAAGTGCTCAACATTCAAGCCAGTTGTATTCAGCTGAGATGATCAATTGACTTGCCTTGTCTAAACCCGGCTTTATATGCATTTTGGTATGGGTGAAACTTTCTGAGGTTAAGCTGGTTTTAGACAAGGTAAGTCTGTTGAATTTAATTGGGTTGAAAAGTTTAGCCTAGTTCAGATTTTTGCAATTCAAGTGAGTTGATCAAATAAGTTGAAGCCATGGCTTACACGTTCAGTTTGCGATCAAATCAGCTGTATTCAACTGGGTTGATCAATTGACTTACCTTGCCTAAACTCAGTTTCAAACATTCAAGTGAGTTGGTCAACTGACTTGAATTGAAAAAAAATGAACAGGGCTCAACTTTCAAGCCAATTGAATTCAGCTGAGTTGATCAATTGACTTGCATTGTCTAATCCCGGCTTTATATGCACTTTGATTTGAGTGAAACATTCTGGAGTTAGGCTGGTTTTAGACAAGATAAGTTGGTTCAATTCAATTGTCTTGAAAAGTTGAGCTTGTTTTAACTTTTTTTTCAATTCAAGTGAGTTGGTCAAGTCATTTGAATGTCATGGTTTAATAGCGTTCAATTTGCGTTCAAGTATGTTGAATTAAGTTGAGTTGATCAATTGACTTGCACTGTCTAAGCCCAGCTTAAACCTTGCTAATCATGTGAGTTGATCAATTGACTTGAGTGGAAAAAAAGTTGAACCGGGTTCAACTTTCAACCCAATTGAATTCAGTTGAGTTGATCAATTGACTTGCCTTGTCTAAACCCAGCTTTATATGCTCTTTGATTTGGGCGAAACATTCTGGTGTTAAGCTGGTTTTAGACAAGGTAAGTCGGTTGAAAAGTTCAGCCTGTTTCAACTTTTTTCAATTCAAATGAGTTGATCAAGTCAGTTGAATGGCATGGTTTAATGGTGTTCAATTCGCGTTTAAGTCTGTTGAATTCAATTGACTTGATCAATTGATTTGCACTGTCTTAACCCAGCTTAAACCTTGCCATTCAAGTGAGTTGATCAACAGACTTGAATTGAAAAAAGTCTAACCGGGCTCAACATTCAAGCCAAATTAATTCAGTTGAGTTGATCTATTGACTTGCCTTGTCTAAACCCGGCTTTATACATACATATACATTTATTTGTACAACATCACATTTAAGATAAGACATAATCAACAATAGTACGCCACAATACTCGGTTTGCGGCTTCCGCTCTCCATCCTCGGTCATGCCCAATGCTCGCTAGATCACGCTCTACCTGGTCCGCCCATCGTGCTCTCTGCGCTCCACGCCTTCTTCTGTCAACCGGATCAGTAGCGAACACCAACTTTGCAGGGTTGTTGTCCGACATTCATGCAACATGCCCTGCCCACCGCATCCTTCCGGCTTTGGCCACCTTCTGGATGCTGGGTTCGCTGTAGAGTGCAGCGAGCTCGTGGTTCATTCTTCGCCGCCACTCACCGTTCTCCTGCACACCGCCGAAGGTCGTCCTTAGCACACGTCGCTCGAAAACTCCGAGTGCTTGCAGGTCCTCCTCGAGCATAGTCCATGTCTCGTGTCCATAGAGGACCACCGGTCTTATTAGCGTTCTGTACATGGTACATTTGGTGCGGGGGTGAATCTTTTTTGACCGTAGTTTCTTCTGGAGCCCGTAGTAGGCACGACTTCCACTGATGATGCGCCTTCGTATTTCACGACTCACATTGTTGTCAGCCGTCATTAAGGATCCAAGGTAAACGAGTTCCTCCACTACCTCGAAAGTATCCCCGTCTATCGTGACATTACTTCCTAGGCGAATCCTGTCATGTTCGGTTCCGCCTACTAGTATGTAGGTACTTTGTTTTTGACGGACTCACCACCAGTCCGACCTTTGCTGCTTCGTGTTTCAGGCGGGTGTATAGTTCTGCCACCGTTCCAAATGTTCTTGCGATAATGTCCATGTCGTCCGCAAAGCATACAAATTGACCGGATTTCGTGAAAATCGTACCCCGGCTGTTGAGCCCGGCTCGTCGCATTACACCTTCTAGAGCAATGTTGAAGAGTAGGCATGAGAGTCCGTCACCTTGTCGCAGTCCCCGGCGAGATTCGAATGAACTGGATAGTTCACCCGAAACCCTTACGCAGTATTGCACACCGTCCATCGTTGCTTTGATCAGTCTGATCAGCTTCCCAGGAAAGCCGTTCTCGTCCATGATTTTCCATAGCTCTGTGCGGTCGATACTGTCGTATGCCGCCTTAAAGTCGATGAACAAATGATGCGTTGGGATAGATAATCTGGGATAGCACTTTGTAGGTGGCATTCAAAATGGTGATCGCTCTGAAGTTCTCACATTCCAAATGGTCGCCTTTCTTGTGAATGGGGCAGATTACCCCCTCCTTCCACTCCTCCGATAGCTGTTCTGTTTCCCAGATCCTGACTATCATCCGGTGCAGGCAGGTGGCCAACTTTTCTGGGCCCATCTTGATGAGTTCGGCTGCGATACCATCCTTACCAGCTGCTTTGTTGTTTTTGAGCTGCTGAATGGAGTCCTTAACTTCCCTCAGCGTGGGAGTTGGATCAGTTCTGTCCTCTGCTGCACTGACGTAGTCGTTTCCTCCATTGCGCTGGTCTCCCGTGCCTACGTTCTCCTCGCCATTCAGGTGCGCATCGAAGTGCTGCTTCCACCTTTCAATCACCTCACAGTCAAGAGGCTCCCGTCCTTATCCTTGCACATTTCGGCTCGCGGCACAAAGCCGTTGCGGGATGCGTTGAGCTTCTGGTAGAACTTCCGTGTTTCTTGGGAACGGCACAGCAGTTCCATTTCCTCGCACTCCGCTTCTTCCAGGCGGCGTTTTTTCTCCCGAAAGATGCGGGTCTGCTGTTTCCGCTTCTGTTTATACCGTTCCACGTTCTGTCGGGTTCCATGCTGCAGCATTACCGCCCGCGCTACGTTCTTCTCCTCCAAAATCGCTCTGCACTCCTCGTCGAACCATTCATTCTGTCGACTTCTTTCCACGTACCCGATGGTGCTCTCGGCTGCGTCGGTGATGGCTGCTTTTACTGTACTCCAGCAGTCCTCTAGAGGGGGCACATCGAGCTCGCCCTCCTCTGGCAACGCTGCCTCGAGATTCTGCGCGTATGCTAAGGCGACATCCGGTTGCTTCAGTCGCTCTAGGTTGTACCGTGGCGGGCGTCGGTACCGTACATTGTTGATGACGGAAAGTTTTGGGCGCAGTTTGACAATCACCAGGTAGTGGTCAGAATCGATGTTAGCGCCACGATAGGTCCTGACGTCGATAATGTCGGAGAAGTGCCGTCCATCAATCAGAACGTGGTCGATTTGTGATTCCGTCTGCAGTGGTGATCTCCAGGTGTAACGATAGGGGAGGTGGTGTTGGAAGAAGGTGCTGCGTATGGCCATGTTCTTGGAGGCGGTGAAATGGATGAGTCGTAGGCCGTTCCCGTTCGTCAGCTGGTGGGCGCTGAACTTTCCAATCGTCGGTCTGAATTCCTCCTCCTGGCCTACCTGATGATCTTGACGTCGTGGCTTGGGCAGCGATCGTACTCGCGGTCGAGCTGCGCGTAAAATGCGTCCTTGTCATCATCAGTGCTTCCGGAGTGAGGGCTGTGCAAGTTGATTATGCTAAAGTTGACGAATCGGCCCTTGATCCTCAACCTGCACATTCTTTCGTCGATCGGCCACCAACCGATCACGCGCTTCTGCATTTCGCCCATCACAATGAAAGCTGTGCCCAGCTCGCGTGTGTTGCCGCAACTCTGGTAGATGGTATGATTACCTCTGAACGTTCGCACCATGGATCCTGTCCAACACACCTCCTGCAGCGCTACGACGCCGAATCCACGGTCCTTCAGTAGATTGGCGAGTATTCGGGTGCTGCCGATGAAATTGATAGATCGACAGTTCCACGTGCCGAGTTTCCAATCGCAAGTCCTATTTCGTCGCTGGGATCGTTGCCGTTGGTCTCGGTTCGTATTCTTCTGTTGCTGATTTTCCGTTGCAATGCTTTTTTTACGGCTGGCTCGCAGGGCCTGACACCAGCCCCCTAACTTTCCGGAGGACCAGGGTGCACAGTTGTGCTTAGAGTCCTTCACTGGCACTCGGACGTAGATCAGCCGCCCCTAACATGGGAACAGACGCTGTTGTGAGCCGCTCCTCCTGGAGAAAAGACGCTCAGGCTTGCCGAAGCAAACCCTCCCCCCCCCTTCCCTGTCAGCCTATGACCAAAGTTCCCACGGGGGTTGGTTACCCGATCTTCCCTAAGGTTGCTCACAGTTCCCGGCCGGTACCACGGGGAGGT